TGCTCTGTTGAATCATGTTCAAGGTGGAAAAAACTCATGTTCCTACTAACCTAAAGAGCTTAATATCTTGCTTCTGTCCTTAAGATGAGTTTTGGATTCAAATGTACTCCCTCCAAGATGAAGAACTACCTTTACTTTGTGGGGCTCATATTTTGCATAAGAGATTTGTTACTTCAGACTTCATAATGTCTCTTCTGGATGAAGGGAGTTTGCAGATGTATAAAAGGGCAAGACAACTTCCAAAAATACTTTGCATTTCCACAAAACTACTTGAATGTATTCTTGCCAGTGCGAAAACTCCTTTGCAAACCACCACAGATTAGACATTAGTCTAATTGTGGAATGCATTGTTTAACATTTTTCTGCATACTTCCAACTTTATGAGCCAGTCATGCTGAGATGATAGCTTGAGGTCCCAACTGTGGCTTAGGATATGCTGTGCACCAGAGAACTTCCTCCACATAAGATGTCTTCTTTAGGAATTAGGTACTCTGTGGCAATCTGACTTTAAAGTTCCTTTAAAATATTCCTAGTGTTATGTGTTAAATCACACTGACTTAATTCAGAACTTTTTTCAGCCAGGGTTATTGACCAGAAATTCCTTTTAACCATAAGTAGTCAAATTTTATTCAATAGTCAACTCATCTTTCCTTTCTTTTGTAGTCTGGTTACTACTAAATATTACATATTCAGTGAAATGTCATAAAAAAAAAATACTTTTTTATTTTAACAACTTTTTTTTTCTACATATTCCCCTCCCATATAGATCAAGCCCTGAATGCAAGACCAGACAAGTAAATAATGCCAACATGTAAAACTAACTTATAAATGTATTACTTTTTGGCATATATTTTTTTTTTTTGGCAATTTGTGGGGCTTAACTGCGCTTCAGTGAGAAGAATGTCTTCTGGTGTGAACAGAAATTATGCTCAATGTCTGTTTTTTTTTTTTTTTTTTGTTTGTTTGTTTTGTTTTGTTTTTTCCTTTTTTTTTTGGGGGGGGGGGGGTAGTGGGAGACACATAATAATTCCTTGTGGACACCTGAATTGTTGTATTACATGTTAGAATTACATGTCCTGAAAAATTAGACTGAGTACTTGAATTGTAAACAATTCAGCACATACTTGTCTATATTGCACTGTGGTGATCAAAAAACCCTGTTCTTGCAATAAATTCTTACTGTCTTCCTGCAAACAAACTTAAAAGGTCTAGATGGGCCTAAAAAGCAAGAGAAGTGTGAATGACTGATAGTTAGAAGTGTGAATGACTGATAGTTATTAATATGTGTCAGAGTAGACAGTTTTACAGTTTTGGATTCAAAAAGCCTGAAGCACAAAGAGTGCTGGTAATTTCAGACACACAGGAGAAGTTTAAGCATAAGAATGTATTGAAAACATCTAGTGATCCTGTGGACAGAGCTGTGCAATGGTAGGTGGGCTTCACTGAAGATTAGGAGAGTAATAAGCAAAACCAGACAGCTTTCCAGTCTGTGAAATAAAAACACCACATTAAACAGTTTGTACTTGCCTGTCGTGCTTGATCAGTCCCCTTGATTTATCAACATGCCTACAACTTACTACCATTAAAGAAAAAAACTCAGCGTAAAAATAATAGGTTTCTAAAATAAGGGTTTTAAGGGGAGGGAAGAGGGTTAATTCTAAATGATCAGTATGTTAAGGACCTTTCTTAGTTCGGATATTTAGGGGGAAAAAAAAAAAAAGGACGTTTAATTGAATTCAACCAAAGCAACAGAATTTGCTGCTCAAGGACTCAAAACTTGTATTTGAAAAACAACACTCGTGCGCCACCTCCCGAGGAACAAAACGCAGCACACTTAACTTGCTCTCCAAAGGTATGAAACCAACGTGGTCTGAGAGGCTGTCCCGTGACAGGGACATTCAGTTTGGGTGCCTTCTTGTTCTGGAGCTTAGGCAACAGTCCAAAATACTTCAATCAATTCCAGATGATCAGAAGCTTTATCTTCTCGAGTTAATTGTTGCCTACGCGTGATTTTTTTTTGTCCAATATGGAAATGCACTGACAAATGATTGAAGAAAGAATGTCTCAAGTCATCTGAGTGTAAGCAGGAAAAATCACTTCGGAGCTAAACATGCCTGCCTCCTCCCCTCCCTGCAGGGTTCAGCAGTTCTGCTTTCTTTTCAGAGCTAAAGCCAGAAGTTAGCATTGAAAGTCTCAAAGTACTAGGAAGAATTTGGATGGATATGATTTATCGGCTTTGAAGTTCATCTTAATAGGATTTAAAAAGACACGCTGAATGGTTTGAAAGAATTAATCATTTATTTTAAGCAGCAGAAAATTTGATTTTTACATAGTATTTATCTGAAAATGGCAAGACCTGAAAGTACAAAATACCAACTTTTGGAAAATTCAGTAATGACACTTGGCAGTAATTGGGATAGACAACCTAACATCACCTGAACACTAAATTAAAAAAAAAAAAAAAAAAAAAAAAAAAAGACTGTACCACTTTTTTCTGATCCACTTTACTGATCCTATTTTCCTTTCACTCCATGTTACATGGCATCTATTACAAAAAAAAAAAAACAAACAAAAAACAAAAAAAACATGAAGAAATGCCTCTACTATATGTACTAGATGGAATCATTCCTTAAAGGTGAAAACCTTTCCACACTTCCTGAAGAACCATCAAATAACAGTTGACATGTTGTTGGTCTTAAAAGGTTTCTGTATCTCCATATAAAATTTTCGATAAAAAATGTGAACGGCCTGTTTCAGATAAATCTTATTTAAACATTCCACCTTACATAGTTTTATACACACACTGAGTATTGGCTAATGACGCATTTTTTTCAGGACATATTGCAGTAATCCATGCCTTGGTGCTGTCAGGAAATTGTTTGTCTTTTCAGTACCACTTCAGCTTGACTTGCTTGAATCTGTATTTTATTTTATGTTTTTTCCCAGAATTTTCCAGAGGACAGCTATATTGCAAATACAGCCATTTAAACATTCAGTTACATGACTTGCCTCTAACAAAACAGGAAAAAACATACCCTTTACAGGTTTGACGTATTTCTGTGAGGGAAGGTAGCCTTCAAAGAAGAATATAATGATTAAAACAATGCAGTTTATTCAAGTATTTTGCTTACCTACAGATCACTGTAAAATAGCAGTAAGGCTGAATTGTTCAACTTGAAAAAGCAGAAGTTTCTCATTCAGAAAGAAGAACCAAAATCATTATGGTTGGTGGGAGACAAAACCAGACAGGCCTTCAATGGGGGCCATCACCTGCTTAAAGAATGGCGCTGACTCACTGTTCCTTGTGGTCCTCCCTCCACCCATGTGTTTTGTAAGGGCGGAGAACTAGGAAAAAGCACAGGTACACATCAGTGGTTTCCAGGGCTTACTCCCTGGAGGTCTGCCCCATGTTATGCAGCTACAGATCTTAGTTCTGTATGCTGGGAAATAAGTCCAGGAAGGGAAGAGTGTGCCACACCAAGTGCTTTCCAGTACTGAGAAAGGAATAGCAATCTGGGGCCAAAAGTACGGGACCAGCAAGGAAGACCAGTAGCTAAATATGTCCAAGTGAGAAGTGAAAGAGGTCTAGGGGTTGGAGTCAGCAGAACTCTACATCCTCAGCCTCGATCTGGAAGTCTAGAAGACTCAATAATTTGGCATCTCCTCATTTCACACAATCAGCCAGCCTCAGCTCACCCTGGTCCCTCTGTTAGTTAGTGCAAGTCTTAATGGTGGCTTTTGCAGTACAGATTGACCCCATCCAGTGGTTTGGCTGCAGCCAACAATTAGATTTCAGGAAATGTTCCTGAGGATCCATTACTGGGACTCCAGATTATTCACAAGCCTCGTCTAAAGTCTAATTAGGCTCCAAAAGACAGAAGATCTGACTGGCTCAGAAGATTGCTCTTATCCCTTTACCATCTGTCTTCTCTTTTCTGAACAGCAGGAAGGATTTCAGTAGCCAGAAATGAACATTTTTTTTAATTAGAGTCAAGTTTGACAGCAACTAATATCTTGCTAAATTGTACAGATGTTTCTTAAAAGGATCAATCAGTTATGCTCTTATTTTTTATTAAGTGAAGCTATGAGCAGCTTACTTATTCCTCTTTCTTTAATTTCCTTTACTTTCACATCAATAGGTCATTGTACTATCGATAGGTCACTTTATATGATGAGGCACTACTACTACTCGTGTATATGAGGCTCATGTCAGAGGTCAGAATATGACAACCAACCAACCAACCTTGCTGTTCAGAACCTCTATAGAAATCAAAGAACATTCCAACAGCACAATAGTTCGGGATTATTGGACAACTTAAGAACAACTCTCCTTGAAAAAGCACCATGTTAAGAGTCTATCAAAAAGGTTAGTATACAAATGAGTTATCCTTCCATGAAACATAACTAATTCATAGAAACAACAAGTTAGGGCCTAGAATATCCATCGTTTGATTTCAGCTGATGAAGAGGTAAGTGTTAAACAATTGATAGGTTAACAAGAGATACAAAAAATAGCTCTGTGGTTACAACTGACTAACATGCATAACATCAAAGCTGAGAACTGGAATGGCACCCTGCGCTGATACATTGCTTTTAAGTTGGTCCAACATACAAATCCTAAGTGCAAGCTCTATGTTTTCTTCAGCTCTTAAACTAAGCCAAAAAGGCTATGATAAGATTTCTAAAACCTGTGAAGGCAGTGGGATATAACTAACATGTTCCCATGCCTGAACTCAGGTTTAACTACTTTAACTCAAATCATGCATCTTCAAATCTGTAATGACTGAACTGATTGTATCAATTATCTAAAAGGCTACATCCAATGAAACATGGCTTTCTGACATTTTCATGGTACGATACTCCATTCACATTAGGAGAATGCTGGTTCTGCAACAAATATTTATATGTATACAAGGAATGATTTGGAGTGCTGTGATTTGGAGTACCCTGTCTTCCATAATAAATAGAGAATGTTTTACACCACTATCCTTACCCAAAGAGTTGCTTTTTGTTTTGTTTTGTTTGTTTTCCACTAGGTATGGTTTAATTTGATCTCTGAAGTTAGTTAGCAAGAGTATAAAATGCCTCATGGAACTCTACTTTAAAAAAAAATATATTGGGGAAAAAGAACACTGGTGAGGCACACTTGGTAACACTGTAGTCTATCATTGCATTTATTCTTTCGTAGAAAAATGCTCAAGAGCATTATTTTTCTTAATGTGCCGTAGGCTAAAATGAACCCTCAAGGGCCTCTATTGCTCTTCTTGTTGCCAGAGCAACAAAGCAATACTCACCTGAATATCTGCCAGTGTAAGTATCAATTTATAAGCTGAGATGAATTTTGTGCTGCTAGCAGATGTCACTAACAGCATTTTTACTGTAATCCAAATTTTAGGGGTGAGGTATGCCATGAAAACTCAAGAATATATTACTGTTTCATTTATGCTACTTGATTATTGCTCATATAATTCAAGTATTTCTATTAAAATGTCTTGACCAATGACATTTGAAACAAAAGGGTAAAACTGAAAGGCTTTTATGTGAAATCCTCTGCACTAAGAAGACTTTGTTAAACAACTCAGAAGATATCTAGCTTGTCGTCAGAAAGCACACCAGGAACCTTTCCCAATAAATTCCTTTGTAAAACTCCTTGTTGTAATGAAGCAAGAGAGCTTAGGGAAAGGGAAGAACCTAATACATACAACTGTTACTACTTTATGAACTGAAAGGGCTCATTGTTTACCACTGTATCAATCCAAACATGCACGATGTGTTTCTGTTTGAAACAGGTGACAAAAGCATTACTTGTATTACTGTCCCGTAGAAGAAGGAATATAACTTTGAAATGGTTTGCTGTGTGTGGAACACAACACAGGAGGATGACGTGGAACCATATCAGAACTGGAAACATCACTCTTTTCAGAGCAAAGTCTATTGCTTTAAGAAAAACCCAAAGGCATAGCTTCTTTTTATAAAATGCACTACAAATTCTAATTGTAAGACATTGCGAAAGAGACAAGTGGAAGATATGCTAGGGAGAAAACACCTAAGCTCTGTTGTTTCTTACATTCCTTTTAATTAATTGCTTTTCTCCCCTTACAAACTAAGAGGAAGAGGAGGAAGGAGGCAAACTCAGAATTTCCTCCTACTTGCAACTCGTAATTCCAAAAAAAATCAACTTTTCCCTATGTTAGATCAAAACATGAATCATTACACTTTATGCAGCCAAACAGTCTGAATGTGCAGGAATTAAAAAGAAAAGGAAAACACAGGCACTTCCAGTTATGAACTGATATACACATTAGTTTAAAAAACAGCAGTGCTTTATTTTCACACACAGTACTTGTACTTCTGTAAAAGCATCATTCCTGAAAAAAAAAAAAAAAAAAAAAAAGAAATCTTTGCTTAGTCCCTGCAGAGTCAGAGAGTCAGAAACAGAGGCAGTGTGAATCAGAAAGCTGCATGAAGGGATTACAGGCAGAAAAAAAATCTAGGCAAAGGATTGGGAGATTCTGAGCTAAGCTTCCTTTTTTTTTTTATTATTTTTTTTTTTTCTTGTTACCCACACAGATTTGTAAACTGCTGTGCAATTGAAATGCAAAGGATTTTTTTTTTTTCCAGTTATTTTTCAAAGAGATAACTAGTACTTGTCACTGGACTCCTCAACCTTGCATTGTTTATCTTTTGAACCCACTATGCAAGTGCTCTGGAAAAATGATGGAGGTGCAGTGCTCACTGACTAGATACACAAAAAGTTGTTCTGTCTGCAAAGAAAATGCCATGTTGTGACTTCTACATTAAAATCTATGCTTGCACAATGGAGGTCTGGCAAATACTTTCCTTCCTTCTCTTTCCCTTCATATTTTTCAGTCTCACCGCATGTGTTTTCAGTCAGTCAGTACATAGACTTTTCATTTGACTGACACACCACTGGAGCTAAACAAAAAGCCTCCCACCGTTGCTCATGTTTAAATACAAGCCAGCATTAAGGCTTTCACTCCACAGTCTGTCCATGAAGACATACTTTTCACTTGAACTTATATGTTGCTGAGCTCAGCAAAGAAAATCATTGTCTTTCTCATTTTCTTGTTTTCTTTTTGTTACGCATTCCTAGAAATAGGAAAAGAGATGACAGAACATGGACTTTAGGACTATAATGTCTATATGTTTGCAATCCAGCCTTAACTAAATATCACTCATCCTAAATTAAAACAAAACAAACAAACAACCACACAAACCCCCACATTAGGGGGAAAACTGAAAGGCTTTTTTATGCAGCAAAGTGGAAAGTTATGAAGTATTAATTTCTATAAAATCAACTACTTAGAAGCACAGGAGTTACATTTGGACATCCTGTGTTTAAAGACCAGTTCTAAGTCGCATGCTTACCAGTGGTAGCATCCTTGTAAAATTAAGAGAGGTAGTCTTGTTTTACACTAAGGCTGAACAAGTTTGTTTCCCAGTTTTTACCTCCTCAAGCTATTTTGCAATGACTCAGGAATGGTGACCCTCTCAAGTGGCAGCAGTAATTCTGAGGAATGAAAACCCAAACTGACATTTCTTCTTGACCTCATTTGCTTTACTGCTGCATATGTCTGACCTTTCTCTTTTGCCCGCACCATAAGCACAGCTTCAAAATGAATTGATGTAAACACAAAGCAGTATTCATTTAATATGATTAGTAAGAAAGGTTATTATTTTTTTTCTCTTTTTCTTTTTTTTTTTTTTTTTTTTTTTTTTTTTACAGTCAGGGCTTGATTAGTTAGAAAATACTAACAACTCCTTTTTTGTGAAAGAAGAATGGACAATTTTGTTCAGATAGTGGAAGAACATTATGGTGTTGTTTTTTTTTTCTCTTTTTTTTAAAAAAGAAGGTACTACTGAGAGCATAAAGGCTCTTTGTACTGCAGTAGCAAATCCAGTACCGTAGCACTTATGAGGTGGTTAACAGTGCTTTGGTTCAGAATCAGTGTTAGAAAATAAAGCGTAAAAAGTTGTGGTATTGGGAGGGATTTCCACTGCAATTTGTAATGGATGTAAAAAGGACTGAGGCATTGGCTTCTTCCTGTTGGCAAAGTACTTTGTTCTTCATTCTGTTGAAGTCCCAGGTTTCACAACTGAGGTTCTCATTTCCATCGGTGTCGCACTAAGGAGGACTCATCATTGACCACGTCGTTGTCAGTGTAGCGATGCTGACAACGGGGTGGAATAAGCAGCAGGATGATCAGTGCAAGGAGGATAATCCCACACAGGCTCATGAGAGCATAGGAGGCAATCCACAACACTGGTTCATGGAAAGAAATGACAGAAACACAGTTGCTTGCAACATCTTCTGTTGTGAAGGGACCTTCAATCTCAGATACTGGAGAGCCATCGACTTCTGAGAAATTACAAAATAAGAAACATTAAGTCTGTATGACACCATTTAAATGTAAACAACAGCAGATCTATCCTAAATAACTATATACCCCTCTCCCTCCATCATCATGCATCTCAGCATACTTATTTTTAATCTGTTTCTTATTGAAAAAAAATGCTAGTACTCCATGTTTATGAAACGGAAATCTGAGGTATATGGAGACCATAATACTTCCACATCTACATAGGCTGTCAAAGAGAGAGCAGAAATTTAACTCATGTGTCCCACAGCCCAACTTAAAAGCCCCAGTCACTGGATCACCTTTTCTTTCTGAACTAACATTTCAGAAGCACCAACTTAATGAAGCTTAAAAATTCTACATTACCAATACACTGGAGTAGTTCAGGGTATGGGGAGCTTTTGTTGTTTCTGGCGTTTGAAAGAACACCTCAGAGGATTCTTAGATCTTCTGTGTTAGCTACCTCCCAAGGTCTTAGGGAGCAGCATGCAGGTTCTTTAGCTTCACAGATACCTTAGAGGGCCATATCCTAAGCACAAGGCACTGGGCAGAAACCAGCAACATTAGCCTTGTGAGTAGTACTGCTGAGATGAAAATTTAGAAGGAAGAGGAGGTAAAGCAGGGATGGCTCAGTAACAGACGCAGAGGAAAGGGGAATGTTGGAGGGGATGCTCAATATCAGTAGTGATGAGCTGTGACATGAAGGAGCAGTGCTGTAAACAGGCAGGGAGAAGCGAACCAAGCAACTCAAAAATGGATGAGAAAAAATTAAATCAAGAAGCATGAAGGGATGCCTTGGAAGCTGTTTTTGAACAGCCACCCATCTTGGTAACATCACAGGCTGTGTGACTTGTTTCATTACCATCACAAGCCAGTACTTGTTAAACCAGTATTTACTGAAAAAGGTTATGCTGCCCATGGTTGTCACAGTAACCATGGCAAGCACAGCAAAGTTCCCCTGAGTTGTGGACAGGGCTACGTGTATTGTAAAGGCAGAGCAAGGGAGTTGCCTAGGGCAACAAAATATTCGGAGCATTTCATACCTGCAGGTCTGTGGCTGGGGAAGGATGTGTCTTTTAGCTTGCTTAGGGGGACCAGGAGCACAGTTAGCCTGTGCATTTTAGAAAATTTTCCAAATGGTTGTATTCACTTTTCTAGTCAGATACTCCAAGACACATTTGTGTATTTCTTATAAAGTCCTCGGTTTTAAGCTTCCTGCTTCATTTCTTGTTCATTTTACACACACGCATGCTCATGCGAAATCATGAGTGACCAGTAAATGAGATACTGTAAACAGTATCTCATATTTACATAGAGCTTCAACAAATTTCCTGGAAGCACATTTAAAGAGATTGGCATAAAATACCCTTTGGAAGGAAATTGAGAGATCTGGTATTCAGTCCCTGGCCTCCCATGACCTCATATTATATAAAGGTTTAAGTCTCATTAGAATTAATTCAACTTAACGGTAGGGTGCTGCTGAAGGGGGCAGTCCTGCTTGCCCTCGCTGCCTCTTTTGTGTTGATGTTAGTGATGGGTAGGTTGCAGTCAGAGCAGCTCACTGATCTGATGGTAAACACACCTGTCATAACAAACTAATGCCAAAGCCAGGAATTGTCTGTGGGATCATTCACTGAACCAACCCTTTCTCCAGCTGCAAGTGTGGGAAGTCTTTAGTGGCATGGCGCTGTTAAAGTGTGCTGGGTGAAACCTAAGGTTGTACCCAGAAGCATCCTGACATTGGTGAGTACCAAACATGTATATCTCAACTCATCAGACTGTGTACCCTGTATCATCAACACATCTTTGCCAAGGCACTGCTGTTGCACAGGTATGGTGAGGGAACTGCACAGGAATGGACAGAGTTGCAAAAGACTGCCTCGAAGGCCTGTGGCAGAAACAAAACTGAAATCTGTTCCGTTTGTAGTCCCAGTATTACATTTTGTCTGCCATGTAATTATTTCATGGAGACGTTTCACTCCCTGTCAGCCCCCCACCATTTACTCTGTCTCTATTAAGTCCTTCAGGAAAACCAAACTAAGCCACATATAATACTGATATCAAATGCAAGGCATAATTATTACTATTTAGGAATTCAGTATTTTGAAGAAGAAAAAAAAAAAAAAGCAGTACAATTTTCCATCTTGTAGATAGCTTTGAAAATAAACAGTCCCTAATTACTCATTATTTGGCTTGAGTACAATAACTACTGTTATTAAAAAAGGCAATACAAACTTGTTGCCATAGTGGCTGACATTGTAAATTACATTTTGAGAATGCTTGATAGCAGCATAGCCTCCACTTTCTTCCATCCAAAAAGAAAACTTTTCCTTCACCCTCTTCTACCCCCAGGGAAATTGAAAGGAAATAAAAAGGGTGAAATTTGTCTAAATTGTTCAAACAAACCCTTAATATAAATCAAGTCCCATACTTAACCTATCTTACATTAGATAATAGGATATTTTGGCATTTTCTTTTTTAGAATACTTGGTTCTAGCTACTTACAGTAATTTCTTGACCTTGAAAACAAATGGGATTTTCTATGTTATTGATAATTACAGGACAAAAATGGCACCTCTAGAAAAAATCTATTTTATAATATCTGTGTAGAACTCAAAGTTGAAAAGGTCAAATACTCTTTCTTACTACCTTGGAAAGGAAGCAAACATAAAGTTAGATCGAGTATAGCACAGAATAGTAGAATGCTGCCTGGAAGGGACCTTTGGAGATCACATCGTCCAGCCTCCTATACAGAGCATGACTGTTACTATCACTTGATCAAGTCAGCTGCAGCTATGACCAGCCAATTGTTTAACCTCGAGGACAGAGAACCCATGATCAATCTACGCAATGCGTTTCCTGTTTCAGTGCTGTACTTCTTTCCTTCTGAAGAAGGATTTCCTAACGTTGAACTCAAATCTCTGAATCTAACTGGTGGATGTTGCCCTTTGTTACATGGTTTCACTTGCATTTAGCCTTGGCATGCATTCAACTTGGTGCCCACCATAACTCCCAGCTCTATTTCTGCAGGGCTGCTCTTCAGCCAGCCCCTTCCCAGATGGTTCTCATGCAAGAGATGCAGAACGTTGCATGAACATGCATGAACATGCATGATGCAGAACTCCACAGTTCTTTTTTTCATTGAACCTCATGAGGTTTCAGCTGCTCAGTCCTCCATGTTACTATGACCTTTATGGCTTGAAGCTCTGTTATTCACCATGACAGCTGTTCTTCCAAGTTTAGGGCTTAAAAAATTGGTGAGGGTGCATTCTGCCTCATCACAGTTTAGTGTAGAAGTCACTTATGATTGCAGTGCTTGGTGCATTTCTTCTCTTCAAACACTCAAGCCTTGCTTCTCTGATTTTCTCATTTACTACAAAAATAACAAGGGGTGTAGTCCTACTCGATGCTGAAGTACCATTAGGTTGCATCACTTAACAAGGTGATCTGAACATCTGGTCTCAGGAATGGGCCTGACGCCAAACTTTTCCTACTCATCCTTTAAATACTAGGGTATCTCTGAAATTAACAACAGACAACTTGAAACAATTCAGAATAATTAACAGGTGGAATAAGTCCTATAAGGCTTCACCTAATTGAGGAAAAAGCAAATTTTCCTGCCACAATGGATTAGCTTCCCACTGCTTTCTAACTAACTCTCCTCACATTTTTAGTTTTTTTGTTGTTGTTGTTTGTTTGTTTTGTTTTGTTTTGTTTTTGGGGGGGTACATCCTGGAGAATGAAATCAAAGGAAGGAGAACTGAATAGTAAGTAATTTCTCATCTCAAAACAAGTCTCAACAGAAACTTGGAGTTCAATGAAGTTAAGGGCTTTAGCCTTATTTTCTGTTTCTGCCACTTTTAAATTCAGCATATACCTGTTTAATACCTTACAAAAAGATAGGCTTAACTTTATTGGTAGCATCTGACTGTAAACAAGAAAGTACAAGTGAATACAAAGAAGCACAGCCCCACCAAAAAGTCCCTTATATTTCTCTATTTTTGATGATTTATGCTGCCAGTAATTCAATTTAATTTATGCCTGCTAACAGACTAAAAAGACCCAAATAAATTACATTAATATAGTTGCTATGGAGGACATGGCTGGCCTCCGCAGGAAGCCAGTTAGGCAGCTTAATCCCTCACACTGCACTGACTGCTCACCACTCAGTGCACAACCACTCACAGTTGTGGTTTTCTGATGAAAGCAGTGTTAAATATGGAAACCACAAGCTGTGAAGAAGTGAATTCAGAAATAACTGGCACATCCAGAATGTCATCTGCCCCATGTGAATGAAGTCTGACATATCGGTTTAGCTTGTCTCAGTCAGTGGTTTGTATCACCTGATTACTCAAGAAGCTAAGTTCCCATGATGTTAGGTTAGACATGTGCATGAAATATGGACAAAGAAACAATAATTAAATGCAATCTAACACCAGCCAGGGGTCATCATGTGTCCAAGCTCATGTGGATTCATATTTCTAGTCAGCAAGCTCAGTTCTTCTGCTCTAGAAGAGGTTGGCAGATCTACATGCAGTGGCCAAACTCCGTGTTTCTGTTTAGCAATATTAGCATTAAGGTACTATTATGGTTCCCTGACCATTTTTCTCAACATAGACATGCTCTCAAAGCATTTCTTATGAGCACCAGCAGGCTAAAGTGCCCTGCCGACCTGATGTCAGTCAGTATGTTGTGTCAAAATGCCCCTTCTCCTCTCCATTAATGGCTGCAGCATGACAGAAACAGGAGGCAGCTCTAGGCTTGCTAAAATTGCAGTCAGAAAGCAAACAGAAATGTGACAGGCAGGAAAACCTGGCCTGTAGTATTTGTCTAGTTACACCCTCCTTCCAGATGCATTCAAAATGTCTTTCATCACTGCAGGATCTCTCACAGAGGTCTTCATTAAGCAACCTGCATCTGTGTCTGGATTTTTTTTATTTTATTTTATTTTTGCTCAGCAAGCTCAAAGACAACAATTTGAACCCATTAACAACGGAGAGATTAAAAGGGGAAAAAAAAAAAAAAAGGCTTTTAGAATGCCCTAGAACTACAACTCAAACTAGCTAGTGTCTGTCTTTTTTACCCCTCGATTACCTAGTTGCATTAAGCACTCAGGTACTTACTGCCCTTACCTTCCCTATCATAAATACTGGGGAGTAAAGTAGCACAGTCACACTACATTTCTCAAGCAGATAATAGATGCTACAATGTTTTTTCTGGGCATAGACCACCTCTGTTCGGGATAGTAACTTCCATATGGGTATGCAGCCTTTCCCTACTCCGCAGTTTGTATGTTCTTGCGGTACCAAGGCAATGTCTCATCAGAAAGGAGAGGATACACCAAAATTTGTATTTGTCTTTAGCTACCCTTAGTGAGATAAGATGAATCATGAAAAAGCAAGAAAGTTAACCAGCACTGTGAAATCATCTTAAAATTATCAGTGCTTCTCTTCAAATTTCTTCAGCAGCTAATGGTTTTCTATTTACACCAAGAAAACTATTTGTTTAGAACTAACACAAACATCATGAGTCTTAATTTGAGTCCCATTTTCATCTTTGCCTTGAACATTTCTGAAGGGCTGAAAAGGCACAATTTAGAGAAAAACGTGAGTAAAGTACTTCACTTCACAATGCAAAAATTAGTTAAGAATCCATTTACGTGAAAATTAGAACAGGACTACATAAATAAAGCTGCATTAAAAATAAGGATTCTCTTTCCCCAACTGTACTGGGGAAACTGCACATACAGACATCTTAGAAAGAATATCCTCTCAGTGAGAAGAATGCAGCTAAGATATCCAAAGCTGATGATTTACTTCATACCAAAAGACTGTTGTGTGCAATACAGTCTTTGTGTGTTTTTTTTTTTTTTCTTTTCCCCTTAAAATCTGAATGCCATAGGATTGCTCAAAAATATTGCTCTCACACTTCATTGGTAACCACACTGTCTCGCATCATGTAAGGGACAAGGATGTTTTTTTGAGAGTAGCAGGTGTTTCCTAACTTAGCAGTCCTGAACAGTATTTTTCTTACCTGCACATGGACTCACTGCAAAGCCCACTCTCCTCTGAGCTCTGTCAAATATTACGTAGAAGCCTTCCATGACTGTAGCACCAATAACCAGCGCATTCGCAGATGAAGAGATACCAAATCGGTAGCACTGCAAGTTCTCTCCTATTCCAAGGATGGGTTGAATATAAAGCTATTAAAAAAAAAAAATGTGTAAGAAGCAACACCACACACAGTATTTACAAGATGACAGTCCAGACCTTTTGATTTTTACAATCAAGCACACAAACTCCACTGGTAATCAAGAATTAATAGGATCAAACAGACTTCTGTATATAATTTAAATTTAGTCAAAGTGCTTACGTGCAGGTAAGAGGTAAAGCTCTTGGAAGTCTATGATTCAATTTGAACATAATCATTCAATACATGAAGAGCACCAGCAAATTCACAGAAACCATTTTTTATTGTATGTTCCATAAGGGGGGGATAGGTAAGAAAGAACTTGGAATGTTAACTTGAATTAGAGAAAAAAACTATTTAAAAAACATTATCAGGATACAATTGACTCAGAGCATTCTCTTCAGTGTCATCTTGATGTTTCCAGATTCAAAAATTCAAGTCACATTTTACCCCTTGTATCCTCAGGGAAGATGAAAGATTGACATGCTACATGATCAATACAGAAAAAGCTTATCGTGAGGCTTTACTATATTTCAAGTTAAAATGTACTTAAAAGGTTCATTCTCCCCTTTGCTCCTGACCATCCCCAGAGGTATTAGGTTGTATTAGTAATCTTAGAGGATACGAGGCTGTATTGCAACCTATATAGGGGGAAAAAAAGCCAGAGAGCAAAATGAAAGTGGCACATTACATTCCAAAAGCTGGCATGGAATATTAATAAAAGATAAACCAACCAAGTAATACGAACTGGCAAAGAGACCATACAGGCTCCTTGCCAAGAGTGTCATTTTCAGGAGAAGTGCTCCAACTCAGAATGCCATGAAAAACAAATCAATTTGCTTCCCCCAAAATGAGAAGATCAAAATGAGTAGCGACATTCTGTATCAATATCTAATACAGCTAATGCTCAAGAAAACAAAACAAAACTTGCATTTTTTTCCTGACAATTTGAAAAATTCATTTCCAGCTGCATGGACTCAACTCAAGGAAACATTTTTTTTTCTTTTTTTGGCGTTAGATGTTGAGTCTTTTCTAATACACAAGTTTCTTTGTCATTTTTCCTTTTTAAATATTGATCTAAAAAAAATCATTAAATTCCCTCACATGCAGTAAATTATTTTTCTGTTACTGCTACAAATAGCTCCTACTTTTTAAGAGTATATGCGTTACAATAGTAAGAATAAATGTGTAACTGAATAAACAAAGAAAGATGAGACCTGTGGCAGGATAGAGATGCGAAATGACCTGCTGGAGTTCTCATCCCTCATGTAAATGGAGAGTTTGGGAAATAAAGACCAGGGTCTTTCAGTTTTATCCCAGCATGCAAGCTGTGTACCAGTCCAGAAACCAGAAGAGAATTCTTGTACCTATGAAAAAATGATGCACACAGATTAGATACATTTTGATAGATTTTGATAGCTCTGCCCCAACGCAAACAATTTAAAGAAGAAGATAGTTTTTAAAAACACAAAGCAAAATACAAACTACATGAATGTTTAATGAGCTGCTTCCATTCCTCCCACACATTGTTTTGTAGTCAACTTAACTTGAAGACATAAAAATGTCAAAGGAGGGCTACAAGGATGGTGAAAAGTCTGGAAGGCAAGATGTAACTTGGGTAGACCTGTGCGGTGTCAAGAGTTGGACTTGATGATCCTTAAGGGTCCCTTCCAACTCAGGATATTCTATGATTCTATGATTCTATGTATGAGGAGCAGCCGAGGTCCCTTGGTTTGCTCAGCCCCGAGCAGAGCAGGCTGAGGGGAGGCCTCATGGCGGCCTGCAGCTCCCTCACGAGGGGAGCGGAGGGGCAGGCGCTGAGCTCTGCTCTCTGGGGACAGCGACAGGACCCGAGGGGACGGCATGGAGCTGGGACAGGGGAGGGTCAGGCTGGGGGTTAGGGAAAGGGTCTGCACCCAGAGGGTGGTCGGGCACTGGGACAGGCTGCCCAGGGCAGTGGTCACAGCACCAAGCCTGCCGGAGTTCAAGAAGGGTCTGGACAAGGCTCTCAGACACATGATCTGATTTTCAGGTGGTCCTGTGTGGAGCCAGGAGCTGGACTTGATGATCCTTGTGGGACCCTTCCAACTCAGATATTCTGTGATTCTATGAACTTCAGGATTTTGAAGCCAAGGGATACGCCAAAATCCCCTAGCATCCAAGGGAATCAAGGTCTGTTGGTCAATGAAAAGAATCACATCCCTCTGTCTCTCTTGCTGCCCTTCTACCAAGTACCAGTATAACTTGACATGCTTTTGAAATAAGGTTGATTAACAGTGTTTCTTAACGTATCCATGACACTATCAAAGTGAACACATTAAACCCCTACAGAGCTTCTTCCCCTAAGACAGAAATCTTGCCTGAAGTGCACGCTCCCTAAAACACACAAAGTTGATGTACTGCCAGACCAGAGGAAAACACTTCATTACTTGCATGCAATGCTTCATGCTGGCTTGGCTCTGACTCCCCTGTGAAGCAACATATAAGGCAGTATCTTGTCCTGACATTGTAGAGCCAAGCAGCTCAGGTGCAGAAGAAAGGCGGAATCCAGTCTTTCTAACATCCTCATTTGTAATTATCTGTGATATTGATTGTTTTGCAAACAGCATCTCATACATTAGCTATATGGCATTTTACAAGTGACCAGTGTTCGCACCCTCCCACATGCTTGCCAATTAAAAAAACACTCATTAAGGCTGTATTAGAGACCTTATACTTCCAGGTGCTTCTTGGGCCAAAAAGCATACTCTCATATAAACACAGAATGAGACTTACAGCCACAGACAGCCTGGTTTTACACTTAACTCTCAATGCACACTTCAGTAAGTCTCTTGGCATAGGACAGAAATGCTCTACCCCTCATGGCCAAGTCTCAGGTCACACCTGTTAAAACACAGTTCTCCTCTCTTTCCATTTCCTATTGGAAAGCAAAGCTTGTGATGCGAGAAGAGCTTCCAGGTAGCAACCAGACCAGACAGACAAAATCTATCAAGTGCTCTATTTTAAGCACCTACTTTGATTTCCCAGTAAGGCTGCTTATTACAAGGCATTTCTTTGCCTTACTTACGTATGCTGAACAAATGCGTTGGGAGGGATTTGGCTTTATGATACCCAAAAGGTTACTAAAATAAGGATTTTAAGTGTACGTGAGCCTTCCCTTCTCTAGCTTAACAACTTAGCATTACTTCGACTGTGTGAGGAGACATGCTGTTCTGACTTCAGCTCAGTGAGGTACAGTAGCTGCCACTCCTCAGTGGCTCACCTCTACCCTTCACACCTGCCATCATCAAACTGTATCTGTAGCTGCCCCATAAAAGAATTCAGTCTATTTAAGTGGGGTTTAAAAAAACAATCTACACCATCAAAGAGCAGAAAGCCCACAGACTTTTTTTTTTTTTTTTTAAATGGAGCTGAATAAAGGAACACTACACGTGCAGTTATGCCAATATACCTGAGGGGGCAATAACGTCTTGCTGGGAAGCTTGTAAGAAGCAGCTAGGAGCAGGAACTTGTTAACCTGGTTCACCTATGGTCAGAGCAGTATGTCTGACTACAGCAGATGATTTTACATTTCAGTGATACATAGCCTGCCAGATGCACAGGACACTAAGAGTGCATTTGTGATGCCGTGGTATAACTGCTGAAAGTATCCATTTTGCTACCATTGCTCTTACAATGCCAGAAGCTAATCCTTACATCTTGTAATTATTTTCTTATTTAATAGACTATCTCGTTTGTTTAGAGCTGTGAAAAAAACTTCTGGTGTGTGTAGAGGGAAAGGAGTACAAGGTCCTTGAGACTAAAAAGAAACCCTAGAAGAGAATGAATTTTTAATAGAATGAATAAAAATCATGAGGCGAAATGAGTGAGTGGTTCCCTTCTAATATTTTATTGATCAGTTGACTATTTGGCATGTGGAGGGCTCTTGGTCAAATGCCCTCCCGACCAACATCGGGGAGGAATCTAGACCACTGTAATCACTTCACAGGAGGATGTGTACCCTTATTACAAGAGCTCTGGGGTTCCATTCTCCACTCATTGGCAGCAATTTTCCCAGTCAATATTTAAGTGCTTTGAAAAGAGTAGAACTTTTCAATCAGGGAGATAGAGCTACATAAGATAATTCATATATTTATTTCAGATATTGGACATGTATTGGCAGTGAAGAACTCCTCAGGCCAAATCTCTGCTCTCAGTCAGGCAAAGGGTCTCAGTCTTGAACTATCAGTGTACAGACAAATACCCTGCCTTTTGGTCAACTGGCCAACAGCCTGCTTACTGCATTTACCATGATTTGTCCATCCTACCACTGTCCATTCCTGAAGCCAGGATAAAAATATGAAACTTGTTGACATTGAAATATCTGAGATTTATTCTTCAGCTTTAACCTTCTCAATGCTGTTAATCGTATTCAAACAAAAATTATGAATAGCTTTTGTTAACCAGAAAACACTGCTCCAGTTACTCTATGCTGAAATAAATCCACCATGCCCTTGCCCTACTTCTAAAGCCCACTCTATTTCCAAAGAAAGATACTTTTAAACATAAATAATGAAGTTCAAAAGCAGCTTTTCTGATATGAACAATCCTTATGAATGGCATCCATTCTAAACAACAATAAGCTTTATATTTGGAAATCAACTGCTTGCAGTAGCAGGTTCTTTTACTTTATAAACACTGTGTTTTGAATGAAAGGACTGATTTTTGTCCCCTTAATACTATGCATTGGAAAGACAAGGATTAAGTCCATATTTCTGAAACACTTAGAGCAAAATACTCAGTCTCCACACTGTTTCTGATGCATTTTTACACATGTGCCTCTTGCCTGTATTTGGACTTATTCTCACCTCTCTTTCCCTCTTCTCCCTCCATCAAAGACCATCCATCATTTTTTATTTAATAATAGGAGTACACCAGGAAAAGTTCTCCTCTCAAGTCAGAGACCTCCTGACTTACCTGGCAGATAGCAAAGATGACACTCCTTTCAAAGATCATGCAATCACTTAATAGGAATTTAACATTTCAAGCAGAGTTAATTACATTAGCTTACCAGGGATTTGCGAGCTATTGCTTGCACAACAGCACTGAAGACTTTCTGGGGCAGACGGAGGAGAGTGGTCCCACTGTCTACTATCGCTTTATCAGCATTATACTAGGGAAGGAGAAAAAAAGAGAGAAATTACACACTGTAGTTAATGTAATCAAGATTAAACTGTTTCATAGTGATTACAAGGCTGTTCCTTTTTGGTAGCTGTCTTCATAAAACTGTACGTCACAGTTTTCAGCAGCTCTCTTGAGCTGATAGCTTGGATTCAAATGAAGCTTGAGAGCAAAAACAACGTAATGACAGCCTAGACACAAGAATGAATTTATCTGCACTAGTCAAAAAATTATTCCATCTCACCACAGCTGTTGCAAGTGGCCAAAGTGTCCTAGAAAGAAGTATAGCACAGCCTCTCAGAGATGTACGCTAATCCACTTTACCTCTCATATGTCTTGGGCACAAAGCACTCTCATGTTTAGTTCAGGCACAGGGTAAGCACACTGATGTGGCTTACACACATGTCCATGCCCTGAATTTTGGTCTCAGCTATAATGAAAAAAACTCACTCTAATTTAAACATAATACAGCATCTTGTTTTTAGTAACTAGTGTTTCTACCTTGAGAATAGTCAGGGAGCATAAGTCCTCATTACACGTCAGGTTTGGTTCTAGCTCAAGAGTACATCTTGTCTCTTAACTTCAGACAACCATGAAAACACAGGAAAAAGCAACTACAAAGAAACTGGAAAATTTCAATCCTGCTGCTCCAAAGTCTGCACAAAGTCCCTCAGTATAAAATTCTCTTCATTATAAAAACCCTAGTCCTCAGGCTGATGAAAAAACCTCTGATGAAATATCAGAGGTTTGATGTTTAATCAAACTTCAGATACAATAAAATCAAAGAATAAATATTTTAAGAGCTACATATTGTTTTATGGACCCTTAAAAAAGCTAATTAATTAATTGTAAAAAGAAAAGGCAAGCAGCAGTGGCAGCTATTCGCATTAACTACTTTTGTTACGAGGTTAGGCAGCAGCATCAATATAACCAAACAATTATATGCTTATGGCATGATCAAAAGACAAGAGCAAACAGACAGCATAAACTTTTAGGAAGAGGTCAAAGAGAAAGTGAATTCTAGATACATTGGTTTAGATATTATCAAGTCACAGGCACTATCTTCAGTGCAGTGATAAAAATAAAACCCCACATAAACTGACTGACTTTCTTTTTGAAAGAAGAGGTACTATAGGCTGCCAAGCAGCACTGAACGAAAAGCAAACAGGAAAAGCACTGATATGCACCACCTGCCGTTTATCCCACACTCAGAAACATTTCTGACGAGGGGAGAAAAATATTATGGCATTGTGGAATTCATTTTAACATATTTACAATACAAATATGCAATCGCCAAGATCACCACCTCAGGAAAAAAAAAAAAAGTGGGTAGATGCACAGCCTAAAAGGGCCAACCACTAACATAAAAAAGCATGCAGAATTCCTGCCTTATAGATTTCCATGCTGTGTACAATGTACTTTCTGTGTGCAGTAACTTCTCGCCTTCTCAGTCTTGCTGGTTAATATTTAACAGAGCACCCTAGGCAGTGTGCACCAGTGGCAGCTTTGTGCTTCCTCGGCCCTGCTCTGCCAGGGTCCTGGCCAAAGCTGCAGGGTTATTCTGGCCCTATCCCCAGATCTGAAGTGCAGGGGACTGTTTTTTCCTTGCCAGGAAAGGAGTAGTCTCTGGTGACTGTTACAAAAATGTTCCATTTCCTAGAAAACAATTAGGAGAAGACAGGGCACATAGTTCATCACTCCACAAAAAGAATTACGCATCCTTGGCAAGCCCTTAACTAGCTAACTTTTCATCATACTAGCCTTAATTTACTACTCTTCCCCTAAACTTCTGCTGGGAAATACCCTTAAATCAAGAAAGGAATGATGCTTTTTGTACCAGTGATGTGCCTACTATGCTAATACATCCAAGGTGAAAGCAAACCATAGCTTAGAAAGAGTAACAATAACAGGAAATTTTCATAACACTGCTACATTTTTAAGTGAGTTGTTTTTTGGAAACAGCATGTATTAAACCATCAGCACAAGGACTCCTCTTCAAAATATATTGATTGTTTTTTAAGAAAGAAAAGCAAAGGTATTTATGTTAGAAACCTAGCAGTTCTGCATTCCTAACAATATAATAGAGAGGAATTTAAATAGACCTTGGTCTGCTTATTAAGTTGGAGGTGATATGATCAATTTTAAGTATTTTATATAGAAATATGAATTCCATATTTTATATGGAAATATATTTATCCCTATGTAAGTTTTTTATCATTAACTTCACAAAATTTGTAAGAACTATTAAAACTTTAGAATGATCATATTCCACTTATTTCCAGCTAAGAGAACAAGCACAAGACAAAATTAAGATGTCTTAGGAAAACAAGGCATGAAAATTATAGAACACAAATAGCAACAAGCAACAGCAAGAAACAAAGGAAACACGCACATATACATATCCAGAAAAACAAAACAGCTTTGGAGCAAAAATTCCACCAACATAGTCTTATCAAAATGATTCAGTGACTACAAAACATTATTCCTAATATGAACATGAAACATATACATGAGGAAAAATAACTGGTAAGGCTGAAGTGAGCAAGATATGGGCTTGGGGTTCTATGACCATGGGACCTTGTTTGAGGATCACTGTCCGCTTGGGAGGGGCACTCTAGCGGAGAAAAGACAGTTTCGCTAGTAGGATGGCTAACCTTGTTAGGACAGCTTTATGCTAAGAAGGGGGGAGAGGGTAACCAGTAGCCCCATGAAGGAATGAGTGATGCACAGGGCTGCTGAACAATGGGAATGGAGTGATATAATCAGAAGGGATCACAAAATCGATGATAGGGGGCTTCAGAGGGGTCACCTCCAGCACTTACAGGCTAACAAGGAAAACACCTACAAGGCAGCATTATGGAGAAACCTCCAAATATTTTCTAGGAACTAAACATGCTGCAGTGTCCCCTTTTAAGTGCATACACATGCAGTATGGGCAATAAAAAAACGAGAAAGAGAGGTGCACGTGTCTGCAGGGCAAAGCATTCATAGCATCACTGAGACATGGTGGGATGGTTTCCATGACTGTAGTGTTGGAATGAAAGGATACAGGCTCTTTAGGAAGGACAGGCAGGGGAGACAAGGGGGCATCAATTGCTCTCTATGCCAGTGAGCAGCTGGAGTGCATGGAGCTCTGCCTGGGTCAGGATTAAAGGGAGGGCAGGGACAGGGGACAATCTAGTGGGGGTCTACTACAGGGCACCTGACCAGGAAGAACAAGTGGATGAGGACCTCTACAGACAGATAGGATCATTCTCACATTCATACGCCCTGGTCTTCATGGGGGACTTCAAGCACCCCGATATCTGTTGAGGGTACAAACATAAAAAGAAAGTATGGGACAAGATGTTTTGGGAAGCTTCCATGGGAAGCCAACCACCACAAGTAATTATATGCTTAGATACCTCCACGGGGCTCATTCCAAGACCTTCCTTTTTCTTTGTTTGACCAGAACTTTGGTTTGATTTTTCTGCATAACAGGAAGCCTGTAGTAGTTTAAAGACTGTTGTCTCTTTGAATCAATGCACAACCTTCAGTGTTTAGACACCTTCAGTACAACTGAAACTAGTCAAGGGGCTGAGCAAACTGCAGCAACTTTATTTTCAGTGGATTGTTCACTTAATGATCATAGATTGGTCCCTACTTTACTGAAAATGCTATCCACAACTCTGAAGTCCTCTGAAGAAATTTTAGCACATTTACATTACATTTCACATGGCTTATTAATTTCTTTTCAAAGTTACTATACAGACTTAATTCTAAGAGGAGACTGAAATACACATCTGCCTGCAAGGACAAAAATGATCAATTAGGTGCATTTCTTAAATAAACCTGTGTTTTATACAGACAGAAACAAACTATTGCAAATACCTCTCTGCAGTCCAGTTCCAGGTTCTGTCCTCCAACCTCCAGCTTGAGAATTTCAACCTGATAATACCACTCCTCTTTGATAGGTGTGTACCATATATCACCCCTGTAGAGACTTGGTTCAATGCCACCTAGAACCTGAGGGAAAAGAGAAAAGAATTCACATACTTTAAAATCCTGGATGTTTAGTTCTGGGGCAAGTACAGGTAAAAAGAAGAACGTTTCATTGTAATAGCGCATCAAAATCTTAATTTAGCACAATTTCTGTGGATTTTGCTAACAAATTCTTTACCAATCATAGAACAGTTTGAAACAACTAGAAATTAAGATGTTGCTTCAGTAAACCACCATTCCAATGCTGGGCCAAATTTCCAGGGCCTTCTAACAAACTCACACTGATTTTCTTATGAAAGCTCTAGTATTTCAAATCAAATATTGGTGGTTTAACCTAGGCAATGTATAAAACCAGGACAGAACTGAAAACTTGCACATTATAAATTCACTTTATCAGATCAAAAAAGCCTTAATGCTGCTTATCAACATTTCATTTTTTGTATGAACGGACAAAATAGAATGTGACCATTGTGTCGTGGCTACCACTATTAGCTTCTATCAGGACTTTCATTGAAGCTGTCTGGGAGCATACCAGACCATCAGACTTTGAATTGAACTAACATAAGAAAGTTCTCTCTTGGGCTTCATCTATCTCAAATGTATTAACATTTACAGTAGTATGTGAATTTACAGCAAAATAACTATTCGTGATTAATTCCTTTGCTGATATGTTTATTTCAGCATAATTCATGAAGAGTTATTCCAAACAATGATCTCACATAAATAATAGCCAATTCCTGGAACCACTAAAATGGGTGGAAAGACTTCCCTGATTAATCACAAGGGAAAGATCTGGTCCTCAAATTTTTCCTTTGCTCTGTTGTCTAAAAAAAAGACAAAGAGCCTTGATTCCTCTCCCCCTTTTCACATCATATAAAAAAGTACTACAGCATTTTGATAAATCTGAACAAGCTTAGTAGTTAAGTAAGGGAAACACAATAGGTAAGGAAGTGCACCATTAAATTTATTTTTTCTTTATTGAAATGAGGATCCAAATGCCGAAGTTTACTCAAACTTGAGAGAGAAAAAAAGAATGGGGAATGAAAACAAATAGATACTTTTAATTTTGCTTAAATGCTTAACTTTGCCTTAAAAGAATGTAAAACATTTCATATATTTAACTACTGAATTTGGAAGAAATAAGATAGTCATAGAAAAGAGGGAGAGAGTTTAACAAAGATACATCTTCCCTCTCAGATTGACAGATACCCACAAGACTACCTCCGTTGGTACCACTTCCAGAAACAGGCAGTCCAGCACCACACATCTGCAAAGAGAAAATGTTGGGGATCTTTGCCTGCCTCACAAGAGAATCAAAGAACGTCTCCACAGAACTTGAAGGCTTGAAGGTGAAGAGAAAAAAAAGATATATTAATAATTGCAGAAGTATTCATTATAAAGTTTCCATGTAGAAATGAGCAAGTAAATTGAATTTCTGACAACCAAATGATGAAAATCCTATATAAGTCATTAAAAAACCAACACCTGTCATTTCCCTTCTGTTGTTCTTAAAAGCATTTTTACTCTTGACCATTGTCATAGAAATCCCTAAATCATGAGAGTATTTTTGAACTGCAGTTTTCAAATTCAGATACTAGTTTTAGTTTTCAGGCAGAAATTCTCAACAATATTTTCTGCTTGCAAGACTCTTTGGGTTATTAGAAGAGACAAATATGACACGCCCTTCCCACCTCCCATGCTTAATTTTTAAACACAGTTTAATTCTAAAGAACTTTGAATTCAATGCCCTCATTTCCTCTTCTTTCTTTTAAAGAACTTTCTGTCTAAGTTCAACTGATTACTGACTAATAGGTTATTTCCTACACTGTATACCATGCCTACCTTTGCATCTATTGGAGTATTGCAATTTCACTGTAATTCAGATTTCTGTGTGAGTATATCTGATGAGAGGCAGGGCCACTGGTTAATTTGCAAGGTGCCAAGTGTTCATACTGCACAAAGCATAAAGCAGCCTCAGAAGCTAACATTTAAGTCTTTGGAAGAAGGGAAAAATAAATACCCTGAATGCACTATTTGCCCAAAGCAGAGTAAGAAGCAGCTCCTCCCTGTCTGTCTGTTGACAGTTCATGACAGCAGCTAAGGCAGAAGTCAATACAATGATCACACAGCTCTTGAATAAAGCTTTTTAATTCCAGAATGCAGACAGTATTGAATCATTTATTCTAAATAGATATATCTCAGTTTGTGAATTTTTCAGACAGTTCTGTGTAGGCTGGAAGCTATGACTATGTAGCATTACAATCACATTTTCAGTTTTAGGTTGTAAACTTACAAATTTTAGTCTATAAATTTTAGGTTCAAATTTAAACTTCTACCTGAATTTCTTACCTCCATAAGAATAGGATGTGTTTGGTTTATGTTCATAAAAACAAGGTAGCTAATATTTGTTCTGAAATTACCCACATTTGCCCTCCATCTCAACCTTTACTTGACAAATGCAGAATGCCTTAGAACAAACTGCCAAGGGCTTTGACAAGCCATCAGTCCATTGGCAAGTCTTGAAGGACAATATTAGAGCCCTAATAAATGCTTCCCACACACATACTAGAAGCCTTGTAACCTTTACTCTTGCACTTTGGTACTACAAGCTCTGTAAAAGCTTATTCATTCCAGATGAGCTAAAATTGGAGCCTTTACCACCAAAAAAGACTAAATCCTCATATGGGACTGTGGTACCATCACAAACCAATTTGTTCTCTCTGGAATTTAACAAATGCAAAAGATCCTTAGGAATGAGTGGTTGGAAGGGAGGAACTTTGTGCTGACAGATCACCTACCCTCTTTACTTTAATATTTAGATTTCTATTTATCATCATTGCAAATGATAAAAGCAGGAGAAAGGATCATTTACCTTGGCTAAGGTGCCATAGGCAAGACCAAGAATCCCATGCCATTGAACCCCTGGTAAGAAGAAATTCTCTGATTCAAAAATGGTTGCAATATTGATGGTGTAGCTGCCATCAATTCCTTTGGGGATAGTAATGACATCTGTACCCAGCACTCCAGTCCAGCTTCCTTGACTGTACTTAACTGTGACATCGATCCCTTGAGATTTGTATGTACTTGACCTTCAAAAGGAAAAGATACACTTATGCATGTGCTGTTTATTTACAACGCAAGACAACAAAATACCACCCAATATTATTTTTTCCCAGAGAGGAAAAATAGTGAAGTCTGCAAAGTTGATCACATATCCTACAGAACAGGGTCATATTGTAAAAGCAGTACCATGTGATAATAATAATAATAAAAAACCTTGAGCTCCTGTTTTTATCCTGAAGCCATCAATGACTCAATCTTTCACAATGTGATTTTTTGTTTTTGTTTTTAATCTAAGATATGACACCATCCAGTGCAATGTGTCCCTGACTCGGACTGGTCTGTCACAATAGGAGCAATACTCTTTAACTAGGGATGGAACATATTAAGTGGTGCTAGGAAATAAAAACCTTCTGAATTCTAATCTAATACTGAAATGCCAAGTTAACTGAATAGCTATAGACTACTACCTCATTAATAGTATTAAAATTCTATTTTGGGTAAAATAGAATATTACGGTGAGCAACAGCAGTAAGACACAGGTTGTCTAAATCTGCAGTCTGGCCTGCCTGTAAAGAAGTAAGCAGATTTGGATATAACTAACAAATGATTCACTAACTTATAGGAGGAAATGAAGGAGTTCCTTCTAGACAAAGATAGCTACAGCAAAGGAGCAAAGAAAAAGAATCCTGTTTAGAAGGCTTAACAAAAGTATTATAGAAAACACCATGAGATTTTTCATTTTAAAATTCTATAGTAAAAACATAGCCATCACCTTCCATCTGCATCACTACCATAGAGCTACAGAAGTCCTAGATCCCCTACAATCTATTTTGGTCCCATTCCTTGGCATGCAGTTTCTCCTTCTAGAGAGACAAATGACCATACTTGCTTCATCTGAACAGACTTTTAGCTTGACACACTTATTAAAAGTAAATTTAAAAGAAGTACATGTGTGTAACACATTAGAAAGGTGATTTATCAAGTGCGGACAGCTTTATCCACCCAGCTTTAATCTAGCAGCTGCTCTGACAGAAGCAGCCGTGAAGCTGTTAGGTCTGTGGCTGGAGCACAGGAGATGGGAGCTTGCTGACAAGAGCCGACTCAGAGCCAGCTCATCCATGGATAGCTTCACAGCCACCCCTACCTGGGCTACCCAGAAGAAAGCTGGTTTGATTTTGCCTGCTATGGGAAACACTCTCCAGATGGCTACACAGACAACTCCCAACCTGTTTGAACACAGATCTCATCTTGTGGAGCGACTTGACCGTATGGACCATGCAAGTGATTCTCTTCCTATCTAAGGGAGAGGGGAGAAGGAATAAGAGGCCAGGCTCTAAACCCAACTAGTTCTTGATACTCCCAATGCATAAGCCTTCAAGGGTCTTCAGGACCCAGTGGCTTGTAACATCCAAGACAGCAGAAATAAATCAGGCAATAGGCCATGTTGATTATAGATCAAAATGCACCAATGTGCCTGAGATTCTGGTACTTACTGCCTGTATCCAGTCACTGCTACTACGGTTTTAACTTTATATGTAATTTTGCATTTCTGTGACATTTAGACAAAGGGACGTCTCTGCTCAGTCATGGTCTTCAGAGAACCACTGTGATACCAGAAGTATATTTTATAAATCGAAACAGAGTCCAAACAACTAGTGACATAAAAGAAACCAGAGGGACCAGGAAAAGGAAGGGAAAATACAGGGCTGTTCATGTAGAAAAGTGTATGACTGTGCAACTGAAGAGGAATCATCTAAAACTGGAGAGAAAGGTGAGTACCAGGAGAACATCTGCAAATACAGACTGTACGTATGACCAGCAACAGTAGGAGCACATAGGTCTTCTTCCCTCAAGTAGGAGGCAAGAAGAATCCCTCATGGATTGCACTCTGGAACAGGATACAGAAAGACTGGGATCATGTATTGCTGATGAACTTCTCTGTGGAAAGGAAGGACAAGTCACCTCCTCTGTGCCTCCCTACCTGTAGAAATGGGTATGAGTATGGGTATCATTTCACTTATAAAGCAATGTCATATTGGACACATATTGACACAAATGTCATATTGGAGAGGAGGTCTTATTATTTACATCAAGGAGCAGAATTCCTACTGTCCTAGGAAGGGATCTTATGCAGTCCTTGTGGCAGTAATTATATTCTGTTCTGCAAAAACATTTCCTGTTCCATCTTACTGACTGTAATCAGCCCATGTTTTTCCATCTCACTGCTCCAAAAGAAGGAAACGTCTTTAGAGGTCAAAATGAGAGAATTGTTTTAATTCAGAGGTAGAGTGTTTTGAGACAAACACATGGCATAAGAAATTCCAAACAAACCATTTTGGCTATGATACAAATATAAAAAATTCAACTCTTCCAGTAGGACAGAGTGTACCTTTGCCAGAGGAAAGGATAAAGGTCTAATAGATGATAGTTCTGTGGTACCACCACTTCCTTCTCCCTCTCCTTAGCAGCTATCGTCTTCTCTCCATAGCATCAAACAGAAGAATGGTTCTCAGACCTTGAATAGTTCTCCAGCCTTATCTCAGAAAACTAGCAAGGAGTTCATTTCCTCGTGCAGAGTTGCTCATTTCCAGCCTATATCACTGGACAAAACATAGCCAAAATATTATTTCTCATGTCATTCTATATTTGAAGAATGTTTGACAACGCAAAAGCAAAACCACTAGGCAGAAAGCCCTGCTTAACACCGACCTCACTAGACATGCAACTCCTTCATTCCATGCTCTTCCATTGCCAGTCTGCAATAAACCAGGACTTCATGTTTTCTTATTTACCCATTCACTTTTTCCTAAGCACCCAATCAATATCTCTACAGAAAGCAATGGGAAAGAAGGGATGGAAAGAAGCAAAGGACCAAAAAATCTGAACAGAAATTTTGATCCCCTCTCTAGTGATAGATGGCACAAAACAAGTGATTCAGGGCCAATGACTTTAAGGCAAAGCAAAAGTGAAAACCCAACAACCAACCTAACTGTCTAAATAATATTTCACAACCTAAATTACTGTTTTTTAACCAACAAGTCCCATTTAATTTGCAGGGGTTCTGGAACAAGTTTATAATTTACCCAAACCATAAAACTTACAGTGCACACAACCAAACGCACAGGATCATCCTGCAAAGCAGAAGATTTGTGTTGCTAAATGGTATGTACTTAATTGTATTATCTCAGTTTATTACTCATAATTTTCTTATCCCCTTACCTCATCAAATGATCATCTCTCGAGTAGTTTGCTCTTGAAACTTTATACCATGAGGCAGCAATACTCACACTGAAATAAGACTGGATACTATTATAGATACTACTGCTGAATACTGACAGCCTGAGTATGTCACTCTTTCACATAACACGCCAACACTGATTTAGTTTCAAGTGTGAAAATCCTTTTATAAATTTAAGTAGCTCTTTTATCATAAGTAGCATATTCAACAAAACCTACTTATTATTTTGAACAGCATGAGAAACAAATACTGTGACTGCTTTTTTCAGTTTAGGAGGACAAATCAGGCTGTTGCCCAAAATCTTACATAACTTGGTAACTTATAAAACATGATCATCACAGCAGACTCAGAAATTTTCACAGCAGAATTTTGTAAGAGCCACTCAAAAACCAGTCATGAAAGAGTTCATGAGAATAGCTCTATTTATTTTGTACATAAAACGCCAGACAATTGAATAATGCAATTATATGATATAAAAATGTGACACATAACGTGATTTAACAAATTACTTCCAAAACTGCTCAAGGAGGGTTGTCCTGAAAAATACACATGCCATGTTCTTACAGACTCTAAAACAAAGACAACAACTTTTCTACACACCCTCCCAATTTCAGTCCAAAAATAATAACACACTTAACTTTATATTTTGATAATTTGAAAGATATTGGCAATCAGGAAATTCAGACCCATCACTGTATTTCGCCAGCACAATATTGATATTCTAATAAGCACACATTAACTCAGTCCCACGAGATTTATTAACTTAACAAATTACTAACCCTTCACTCCCCTTGTCTTCAATTTGCAGTTTATGACTTTGATATGGAAGCACTTCATGACGGTAAAGGGCAAAACTGCAGGACTAATTACCAGATGAGAGGTGATGTCTTTATTTAATTTTAAAGTGTCCCAGATATCATGGAACAAAAGTACACATAGACTATTTGTTTCACTTACACACAGGTAAAGGTCACTCTTGGGTCATTTTTCAGATCTGGCTGATGTGATAACAAGGCCCCTGCCTACCATCTGTGCAAATTCGTGACTACAGAGAAAAGACTGTCCTAAGGCCAGTCTCAAGAAGAGAAAGCAGCAGGGCCCAAGGCCCTATAGGTCCATTGGCTTCACATCAGCTCAGGAAGAGACACAGAAACAACCTCCTGCAATCCATTCCTAAGCACATGAAGGACAAAAAGGTAAAAAGGGACACTCAGTGAGCAATTTCACAGACATATCATGGCACTCTAAGGCACTACATTAAGGAGCATAACTGGCATTCCACACCTGGAATACTGTGGCCAGCCATGGGAACCCAGATCAACGGGGACAGAGAGAAATAGGAGAGGGAGTGGCAGAGGGCTAGGCCAGGGAGCTCAAACACATGAGCTGTGAGGAGAGGTTGCAGGGACTGGGCCTGTTTTGTAAATGAGGTTAAAAGGAGAAATCATAGCAGCTTACACTGATTTGAAAGACAGCTACTAAAATGACACAGACAACCTTCTTTGTCAAACGATCATGCAAGGGGTATTACCCCTTGAGTAACATTTTTTGAGGTTCAGTTTGGATATTAGGTAGTAATTTGCACTCCTGGAGAGTGCAAATTGAAACACACTGCCCAGAGTTCATGGATTCTCCCCCCTCACAGAATCACAGAATCACAGAATTTCTAGGTTGGAAGAGACCTCAAGATCATCGAGTCCAACCTCTGACCTAACGCTAACAGTCCCCACTAAACCATATCCCTAAGCTCTACGTCTAAACATCTTTTGAAGACTTCCAGGGATGGTGACTCCACCACCTCCCTGGGCAGCCCGTTCCAGTGTCTAACAACCCTTTCAGTAAAGAAATTCTTCCTAACATCCAACCTAAAACTCCCCTGGCGCAACTTAAGCCCATTCCCCCTCGTCCTGTCACCAGGCACGTGGGAGAACAGGCCAACCCCCACCTCACTACAGCCTCCTTTAAGGTATCTGTAGAGAGCAATAAGGTCGCCCCTGAGCCTCCTCTTCTCCAGGCTGAACAAGCCCAGCTCCCTCAGCCGCTCCTCGTAGGACTTGTTCTCCAGGCCCCTCACCAGCTTCGTCGCCCTTCTCTGGACCCGCTCAAGCACCTTCTTGTCCTTCTTGTAGCGAGGGGCCCAAAACTGAACACAGTACTCGAGGTGCGGCCTCACCAGAGCCGAGTACAGGGGGACGATAAGTCCAAGTCCTGTAAGCCTCAGAGGCTTACAGGACTTGGCTGGACTCAGCCATGGCTGATCCAATCTAATGACAGCCCAGCATCAGGGGCATTATGTACTAGGTGACCTACAGAATTTTATTTCAAAGAGCATTTAAATGTCTCACCGATTCAATAGGGCCAAGATGCCCCCCAGATGATAGTTAGGCTTAAACTATTTGAAATGAAAAAAGCACGATGTAGCCAGGTTCAAGCATGCTAATACCTGCACTTTATTCTGAACATATTCCTGTTCTCCATCAATCCAAACCAAACCAGGAACTGCTATTGCAATTGCTCTCTTCTATTATTACTTCAGTTTGAATCATTTGATAAAGCACCCTTAACTCTCCAGGGACTAATTTTCAAGGTTTCATTATTAATTTTGTACCAAAGTTCTGAAAACACAATGCACACAGAGAACACTGATAAGAGGCTGTAACCTTCAAGTGATTTCACAGTCTTTCTCAACACAGAGCATCTGTTGTTGTTGCTGTTTGTAACAGTGTGTGGTTCTTATGAGAGGCCTTGCCCTTCCAAAGTAACGTCACTGAAGAGAAAAGGGAGAAGGAAATACTTGTGCTTTTAATTCCTGACAAGTAAGTTTCCTTATAATTGTAGCCACTACCTATGGAGGGGACCGCTGACAAGCAAAATTCTGCACTAGTGCAGAAATAGCTCTCGGGTGCAAATTCTGGACTTTTCAGACCTATGTGAAGTATCTCCATTAACAGCTGAATATGTGACAGGAGGTTAGGCTTTTGTACTAGGCAGCATGGAAATACTGACTCCATTATCAGTGCATCTTATCGGAAGAAAACAATACCCCATGTTAAAATACATGAAGAGGTGATGTTCTCCTGCCTCCCTGTCCTCTAAGTAATTTGAACCATATTCTTCAGCTAAAGATAGACACTGTTTTGTAGAAATTTACCTGAAGTAATTTAAACTAGAGACAGGCAGAAGGGAAGGAAGAATAGAGGAAAAGTGATTCAGACTAAGCTGTGCTTGGCTATGACTAATGTCAGCTCTTGCTAAACAGCAAATTTTGTGCATAAGAGGCACCAAAATTTCCAAGTTGTATCTTATAAACAACCAATTTCAGCACAGGGTCTGTTCCAATCACTGGCTGACTGAGGTCCTTATCCAAACTAAATAACAAATTAGTTTTTGACTAATCAAGTTTTGTGTCAAATGAAATGTCAAGTAGCAGATAGGACTACTGTTTTTTATTTTATTTTTTAAGAAAAGGGAAATAAATTTACATTTCTAATTCCTTCCAAGACTATTTGGATAAGAAATTGGTGAAGTTGGTGTGATTTTAGAAATGATTTTTACCCTGTGATCTTCTTCCTTTTTCCCCAGCTCTAATCAGTATTGGGTCCAGATCTCAGTCTTGCTGTTATCAGTGAGACCGTTTGTGGTGTCAGTCTGGACTCTGCATCAAGGAGAACCAACCTTCTGGTTCAGGCAGCAAATACCCCACTGTCATGGGATGTCAGAGAAGCCCCACAAACTTCCTGATTATCCTCTATGGCATGGAGCAGTCAGAATCTCAAAGACATCCTATCCCACCGAGGCGTGCAGAACAGGTACTTACAGCTCTGTATTGAAGTAGGAGGTGACATCAGGATCAGGCACACCTGCTACAGCAAAATTACTGCTTCCAGTGTCAACCAGAATATTTAACTGCCGAAACAGAAGAAAGGAGAGGTGGTTTTCATATTCAACTAAACAAACAAAAAAAAGAAAAAAAAAAAAAAAAGAAATCATTGAAGTTTTTTGTCTAAGCTACCTTTAGTTTAAAAATGAAGACGACAGTTGTCCTGAAAAATAAATGCAAAATGTCACTTTGGGGAAAGACATGCTGCTGTGGCCCCTCTAGAATAGCTGATTATAATAAAATGCTGTAAAATAGTCATGGTCACAGAAGGGGAATATCCGCCAAGCCCATATTTATTCAGCAGATGAATTCATGACCTACTCAAATTTCTTTTTGGCCAAGTCCTTGTGTCTCAGCAACCTGTCTCATCAGGGACACATGCTGCTTTGTGCCCTCTTTAAAGTACTGCTTGCCTTAGGGCTGATGAGGTTTCTAGGTGAGGTCTGAGCAGAAAGAAGCAGAAACATGAAGCTTAGCAAGCACTGGGAGCGGAGCTTAGCAAGCTCCTTTTGAGCAGTGGCAACCTACCACAGTCTTCACTGCCTGGGAACAGGAGGATGGCAGACTTACAGACACAGTGAAAAGCACTGATTGGTCGGCAGCTTAAGAGGGGGACCACTTGTTCAATTAATTGGGAGGATGACTAAGGCCAAAAATTGACTAACAAAACCACACAGAAAAAAATGAGACCTTCCCTTTCCCCATTTGGCTCAGGTGACCAGTCAGGTTCACCACAGCTGTGTGAACGCTTGTGCTAGCACGAAGCACGTCACAGCATGGGAATGAGCTGAGATGCAGGATAACTTCTTTCAGCAACATTGAAACTACAGCTTGGGAGTGTCATTAAATGATAATTTAAGTCTGTCACTACCAAAAGTGGTGGTCACGCTTTTTTCCTGCTCTTGGCTGGATGTTTCCCATGGCTTCTTGGCGTAAGTACTAGTACCCATGTGGCTGTGCTACAAATCCACTCAGGTTCCTTACCTACAGTTGCAAAAAACATTAGTAATCTGTCTTATCAGACAGCTACTTGAAAAGAGATGGGAGGAGCAGATACTAGAAAAGGGTGATTGCCCTTTTCAATTTGCTGGATTATAAGAGAGAAAGATGGGGGAAATGAGCTCAACGATGACAAAGGAAATGGAGAAACGGAATCGAATTCAGAAAGGAGTGTAAAGACAAAGGAAGATAAAGGACTTAGAGAAGATATGCTGAATTCTTCTTTAATAGATTTTAGACTGAGCACAGGAGAAAAAAAGTGTGAGCTGATGTTTAAAAACATTTTTGGTTTGCTCATGGAGGAGGAGGAGGAAGAAGGTTGCCCCTGTTTTACCTAGTAAATAAAATCTGGGACTGAGGACTGTTTAAAAAAAAAAAAACAAAAAAAACAAAAAAACAAAAACACAAACACAAAAACAACTAGTAATCTATGGGACTCTCTTTTGAACTGCATGAACTCTGTCATTGGTATTCCCAGCCCTAATCATACAAAAATGTTAAGACTAAACATAAACAAAACCACAACTTCAGTCAAGTTATTTACTTGCCTCACTGCGTCTCAGATTTTAGATTAAGTGAAAACAATGCATTAAAATTTATTTTGCAAACAGACATGCTAGACGGACTTCTAGAAAGAAAAGGACATATCCAAGTTCACCTGGCTCCAGGAGCTGAGGCTTTAAAAGAAAGTAAGAACCTGTGAGGCATGACTTGCAAGAAAATCCAAAGTTTGCTTCATACTTTGTTTCACCAAGATTAAAATCTAACATTCTGTCAAACACCTAACAAAGTAAGAACTGTTCTTTTTTATTTTTTCCCCCTCTCTTTTTTTTCCCTCTCTTGGATAGAAATCGTATTAAAAATAAATAACAAAGAGTAGCTACAATGTGTGCATCTATCAGGACCAACAAAAGTTGCCTCCAAGGGGTGCTGCAGGGCTTAAATTAATTAGCATTTCCAAGGCAGTCTGTGATGTTTGAGTAAAGGGCACTATACATCAACTGAATAAATAGATATAGGTGTTACCCTAACTTCAGTAGTATGTATGACACTGCACATGGAGGAGGACTGGGGAAATAAAATTAAAAAGAAATAAAATAAAAAAAGCTCAACCACTAACTATGACTTATATAAAAGATATTTTACCCCCCACACCTTGAATAAAATGTTACTATCACAGAATTCAGAAATCACTGAAGAAAAGGACAAGTTTACTGCCCACAGAACGGAGCAAATCAACATTTCCAAAAGAAAACTGGTATCTCTCCCCTCCAAAAAAAGGGGAAAACACAAAGGCAGCTAACCATGCAGGTCCCAGCCTACTCGGCTGTGGCCACGCTCACACGACAGATCGCTATTGAGGCTGACATTCCCGATCTGCATGTTTGTGCATAATGAGACGCAGGCGGCCAGGGCAGACACAGATTTATTGTGGCCCTCACAATAGTGCCAGTGATTAGCAGATCATTTTGGGGTGGGTATAACTGACTGGGCGCTCTTTCTCTGCCTGCCGCCCTTTCGGTCCGAATTTTCTTTAGTGCCTCCACGTCTCATTAAGATCCACTTTCATGTTGTCACTGCCGGAGCCTACTTTATTCTGTGCCAGTTCTCTGACAGTTTAACTAGGCTGCTGGGCAGCTTCCAGACCAGCTCTGGTAAGTCACGGGGTGGCAGCTGGAGGCCTCATGGTCCAGGGCTGCCTGCCCTGCCCCATCTCCAGAGGTCAGCCCTGCCCAGTCCCCTGGAGATGGAGGCGAACACACAGCACGTTCGCTCCCCAGCCGCTGCACTTCACCACCCACTCAATGCCACCTGAACACATTGAGCTGGAGAGTGGCCATGCTTCTCTGTACCTTCACCTTTCCGTAGCAGGAAGGTACTGATGTTGAGGGAGAGCCAGCAGGGGTGTTTGCATCCTCTTCAACAGCCTCCTGGCAAAGCACCAGAGAGACCATGAACCAGAGCTCTCCTTGCTGGCAAAGTAGGTCCACTGGATTTATGACAGCCACCTCGAAAGAATCGTGTCCTGTCACTTACAGCTGATTAGTGATTGGCATGTTTTGTCAGAAAGTGTCAGGTGAAGTCAGATTTGGCAAAAGCCAAGATCAGAGAGGCACATCTGAATGAGGCAATGAAGGAGAAATTGTCCAAAGGCTGCTGACTGATCATGTGCTAGTCATAAAAAACGAAAGACTCCTTTCCTTTCACACTGCGAGGCACAAAAGGAAAGCCTACAGTTGGTGGTGGATTTTTTTTTTTTTTGGACATTTCCGAGTTCAATTTCAGATCTATACAGCAGATATAAAAGCCCTTTTTTCCCCCAAAGATCACCTTTACCACAGCTGTGGGATGTGAAACCTGCACCTCATACCATACTAGGAGATTATTTTGCTGGATGCATTTCCTGAATAATATGGTTATTAATGAGAGGTTAAAAAAGATTCCTGGGTATAAAGTGACCATGATGGTAACAACCACCTGAACCATGACAAACTTACAGAGGAAATCTGGCACCCTATCTGTATGCCATTAAGTTGTGCTCAAATCAAAAGCTGTTTACTGAAAGTTGTGAACATGGAAATGCATTGCCAGAGAGGCAGAAGTCTCCTTGGGCCATGCATCTTATATGTTGTTTTTTACTCCAATTGGTGGAGATACTGAAAAAATAAAACAGTTGTAATAATTCATTTCATCTGGTAGTCAAATACATTGTCAATACTTCAAGGATCCCTGAAGCTTTCCAGTATTTGATTTAGCATCAGCATCAAATAGCGCTTACTGTATACTCTCCTGCTTCAATAATTTAACCTATTACCGTCTTTATTTTTTTTATTCTTTCCACTGCTGAATATTGTTGTATTTTGATACCAGTAAAAATTTTCAATTGATCTATCATCTTTTTTCACTCAACAAAACTTCTTTTGTCTGTGGTTCAGGTACTAGCCCTATCTCTTACCGCAAGTGATGTCAATGCAACGTCATCAACACTAGGAGTCATCTATCCCTACTTTAACTGCATCAGTGAGCAGTTTGCAAAACACACCATGTATTCAGAAAGTGACTTCCTTGTCCTCTAGCAGGGACAAACCTTACCTCTGTTCTGACCTACACTGTACTCAGACTTGGTGAAGTTTCTCTTTCCTGTTTTAGTCTGAGGTCAGAAGTTTTTTGTAATGCTCAGAAAAACATACAAAACCAATCCCACAGGCTGCAAGTGCATAATGCATTTCTTTGAAGCAGCTCCCTGTGTGGCTTAGCATACACAGTCTTTGCCAGGTGTGGAATCCCAGGGCTTGCATGCAGCCCTGTTGCACTGTTGTTTTTGATGTAATTCCCCAGGTAACCCACCCTGAGACAGTGATAATCTTCATCCCCATTAAAAGAAGGGCCTGTGGAAAAATACACTATAGTTTTTTCAAGTTAATGGGCCTGATTCTTCTAGGTCAAGCAATGAAGACTTATCACTGAACAAAATGAAACAGACTGCAAAAATGCATTTGGATCTTCATCCCTGCTTCAGCTGATGCTTGGGGGAATAAAGAACAGAATAAGATCTGCAGAGTTAGACCCATAGATATAATAATGAATCTCATTCAGTTGTATGTTTACTCTGGGGCTCAGTCAAAATCTTGATGTTAGGCAATTGACAGCTTCCATCATGCAAGCCAGAAGGTCCAATGAAGCTGGATGTGTAACTGGGATTTTAACTTGACCGAATGTCCTCCCTTTCTATTCCCCTCTCTCCCTTCCCCAGTAAAGTGCGACCGTTTCATGCTAGTAACATTCATATGCCGTTCAAAATCTTGTCCTGCTGTGCTTTCTTGATTTCTCCCACACACACGCTTAAAATAGGGTTTATAGTCCTACTCTGCTTGATGGAGTATGCCACACAGTGAACCATCACAAAGTAAAAATGTGTGTGGTTTTTTTTTTTTCCACATTTAGAGACTATAAATAGGAAGCATCCCATTACTGGCTCATGTGCTGTTGCCACATATCATGATGGCTTAGCACAAGTCCACACCAT